TCTGGATAAACAATTTTCAGGCTCCAAACTTAGAAGTGAGCCCAAATTTAAATCCAGCAAATCATTATTCAAATTTCACTGATGAACTAGGGGCATTTGTTAGATTTGTCCCATCCATTGACCTTTATAATTATGCACCTTGTTGCCAGTTGCTACTGACAAAATGTAGTTGTAAACAATCATTAAATCTTTTTGGTGAATTGAATCCCAGAGTAAGAAAGAAATTGATTTGTGTCAGAGCAAGGTTTTCTGCATATTACAAAATGTGTTTCCTTTATATGTACTTCTTCTTTGTTGTAAAAAATAGTATAAACTAAATTGAAAATGCTTGTTTTTCAGTATAGAATTCACAATTTGAAAATCTTTCGTGTTTTCTCCTAAGGATTCACAGAGAGAAAATTAAAAACTGTCTTTTATTCTTTTCATGGTTTCTGATTTTGAATCCTCCTTCTTTGTGCTCCTCTTGGACTTTGTTCTGAAACACAGCTGTCCTAATTGGCTTGTTTGCTTCTTTCCCTGGAGGGGTATCTCTCTGAAGGCAAGTGAAATCTTACTGTTGTAACTGTTTCAAAAAGTTACAGTGTAATACCAAGTCAAAAGCCCTCATGAATAACTACGCGTTATTCTTGGGCAGGCTTATTAGAGATTCCAGACGGTCAGGCCCTTTACATATATATACATGTCCGCCTATTTTCCTTCCTTAAAAGCCTACAAGCATCTGAGAATTCAGAGGAGAGACAGCGTTTGATTCTTCAAGTTCACTTTATAACACAATTTGCTTCCACTTTGGCTTTGGCAGAACATCATTCAGAATTTCACCTCCACTCTCCTCTAAAAAGACTTTAGAAAATTTTCAAGAATTCAGTAACTAACAAACATTTGTGAACTTAAAGCCACGAGGAACATAGGTCACATTTTTTTCTATAGGAAGATTCTAAAAATGGAATAATGAGTATGCTTTGGAGGATGGGGTTAGTTTTAATCTCAAGTCATTTTTCATTATTTGTAATGGTGACATAGTAATTAACTTTGTCCATTGTAGAAAAAAAACAACAAAAGAGAGACATACTAGAATTCTACTGCATCATTTTTAACAGAATCTGACAAAGTATCATACTACACAAGGTAAAAGTAACTTTATAATACATGAAATGTATGAAATGTGAAAATAGTAAAAGTCACAACCAGACTCTTTGCTTGTTAGCTGTTCTGGAAAGAATTATTTTTTTCAGGAAAAATATTTTCAATCTTAAATTTACTAATGTTTCCTATGTTATGGATTGTCATATTTATGCTATAAATCAACTGAACTTTCCCCTGATTCTACACATTCATATCATTCAACTGCTATCTACTATCCACAGTAACTCTGTGTTATAATGATTAAATTACATTACCAGACTCACAGGATTATGGTAATAATAAATATATCGAGAACAATTGAGTTTCATCTTAAGGAAGCTATTGACAAGGGAGGAGTAATATATATTTAATTGTAAGATTAAAACATGATGTTGGAATGAGTTCATAGGGATAAATTTTGAAAATTAAAATAAAATTAATCCTTGCCTATAGGTAATATTAAAAGATGATAAAGAAATATATTATTTTTAAAATGGTATTTTATAACTTCTTCCTGCTCTTTCTCTACTTAACTATCTCACACATTGGCTGCTTTAGTATGATCTAGCTTATGACTAGCTGCATGCCTAATTAATGACTGGGATAATGAATATTCTATTTTCATCATTTAAATAGCCATGGATAGTAACACTGTTGCTTTCATCGTCATTTTATTCTCATGTAAAATGAATATATTTCTTAAAGAGGTCTTCTATAAACTTCTAATACTTTTTGTGCTTCCTTTACTTAACTTAGAATGGTTTATCTCAAAGACTCATATTCACGTTATAAATTTTCAGCTTGATAAGCACAAATTATTTTGTTCCTTTTTATTACTGCTGAAGGGTATGATAAAAAGAAGTAATGGCTAGCATCTATTGAATAGTTTGCAACAAATTGCAAAGTGATTTACCTACATGTGCCATTCTATGCCCGCAAGAAAATGCATCCCCTCTTCACATGCTGGGACACATGGCATAAAGAATACAGTGAACTTAACCAAGGTCTCAGATAGAAAGAGGACGAACCTGAACCCAAAACTGTGTTTGAACTGAAGCCATGCGTTCACTACAGTGTTATTCAGCCTTCAGCTTTCTCTCTGAGTCTGTGTGCTCAGTTTTCTTTCATCATGTGTTTATATGACAGATATTTACTAATTAGTCTCTGCTTGCCAGACATAAGATACACCCATCATATGTGGAAAAAAAGTTCTATGGAATCCTAAGGAGGTCATTGTTCTGTGAAAAAATATGATGACAATGTTCTTAAAAAAGACATTTGCCTCAGGTTGGAGAATTAGAGAATTTATATTAAAGATGAATAAGTTAACTTAACACTGAAATGCACATAAAAGTTAGGTGAGGATCAGGAAGTTCTTATCTGAGTTACACAGTAACTCACAGTAACTTGGTCTAAAAGACCAAGAATGATCAGTAACATGGATTTCTTCATATTAAACTTGAATTCTCACCCCAGCATGTGAATTTCAGCAGACTTAATATTTTTCTGCACTTCATTTGTAAAATTAGAATATGGCGATATTTTGTTACATGGATCAAGTGAGTATTTTGAAGCATTTAGGAAAGCATCTGGCATATTAAAAATGCCACATTAATCTTTGTAATAATTAGTTTTGCCCACCCTGAATCATGCGTAGCCCAAACTGGAAAGAGAGAGTAGGCTAGATTGTTAATACAAGGAATTGGAACGTCTGTTTGAGCTTCCTAACAAGAGCGTCGATGGTGGTCGTGAAGCTCCATACGAGGAGCTCCAAGAACACAACTGCCAGCTCCATACGGGGAGCTCCATACGTGAAGCCTCAAGTACACAACTGCCAGCTCCATACGGGGAGCTCCAAGTACACAACTGCCAGCTCCATACGAGGAGCTCCAAGTACACAACTGCCAGCTCCATACGGGGAGCTCCATACTGAAGCCCCAAGTACACAACTGCCAGTTCCATACGGGGAGCTCCATACGGGGAGCTCCATACGGGGAGCTCCATACGTGAAGCCCCAAGTACACAACTGCCAGCTCCATACGAGGAGCCCCAAGTACACAACTGCCAGCTCCATACGGGGAGCTCCATACGGGGAGCCCCAAGTACACAACTGCCAGTTGCACCTTTGCTTCACTGTTTCCATGTTTGTTTCTAAAGTAACATGTGAATCCATGGATTTTCCTTAAAGAACTTTTAATCTCGGACTTAGGAAATACATAAAAAATTTCTTAAAGAATATTTTCTGGACTCAGGAGCACAAAGCTATAATCAGAGCTACTCAGGACGCTGAAGCAGGAGGATTATAAATTCATGTCCTGCTTGGCGATACAGCACATTCAAGAGGAGCCTGGGCAATTTAGCAATATAAAATGAAAATAAAACTGATGAGCGTTAATATAACTCGTAGAGTGTATACTTGCCTAATTTGCTAGAGTCACTAAGTTCAATCACCTGTACACCCCAAATGTATTTGTGGTTCATCTGGAAGAAAAATTCTAGACTCTGTGTTAATATTTTCTGCAATAATTAATATATAGGTGGATTATAATGTCTATGAAAAATTTCAAGACCTGTAACTGGCAATGAATACCATGTTATTAAAAGTTCACCTGCTGTTTTGATAGCTTTGACACTATAAATTAACAACTCTCAAGCTTTCTTACAATTGAAGACTAAAGCCTACAGTCTCTAAACCAACTATCCAAAAGCTTTCCAAATGCCATTTCTTAAAATATGTGTGCTTTCTTCTAGATACTTCTTCATGATATTGAAGTCAGTATGTAAAGAGAGGTAAAGATATAGAAACCGTGAAAGACATTTCACTGAATGCACGAGAAAAATGTCAAATTCTGCCAATTCGCAAATTAAAATAAAAGTAATATTTGAATTCAATATCAGTTATTCAAATTCAATTTGGGTTAGAGTATTTCTACATGGCTAAACTTAATAACAATGAGGACCAGTAGTATAAATCCATATCCTGTAAGAGCTATTTATAATGCTACAACTAAACCTCAGACCATGTTTATTTTACTTTATGCCCCCTGTCAGGTCTCCTCCATGGGCGACAAGGGAACGAGCAATCACTCAGAAGCCACTGACTTCATCCTTGTCGGTTTCAAGGTGCGCCCTGAGCTCCACACCCTCCTCTTCCTGCTCTTTCTGCTTGTGTATACCACGATCCTTCTAGGGAACAGCGGCATGATGTTCATTACCATGTGTGATTCCAGGCTGAACACACCAATGTACTTCTTCCTAGGCAACCTGTCCTTCATCGATCTCTCCTATTCGTCTGTCATTGCACCAAAGGCGATGAGCAACTTCTGGTCTGAGAGCAAGTCCATCTCCTTTGCAGGCTGTGTGGCCCAAATCTTTCTCTTTGCACTCTTCATTGTGGCAGAAGGATTCCTCCTGGCAGCCATGGCTTATGACCGATTCATTGCCATCTGCAACCCACTCCTTTACTCTGTCCACATGTCAACTCGCCTCTGCACTCAGCTGGTGGCAGGCTCCTATTTTTGTGGCTGTATCACCTCTGTTCTCCAGACCAGCATGACATTTACTTTATCCTTTTGTGCTTCTCGGGCCATTGACCACTTTTACTGTGATAGTCGCCCACTTCAGAGACTCTCTTGTTCTGATCTCTTCGTCCATAAAGTCATATCCTTTTTTTTAGCCAGCATCATTATCTTACCTACTATCATAGTCATTCTTGTTTCTTACGTGTACATTGTATCCACTGTTCTGAAGATTCGCTCCACAGAGGGACGAAAGAAAGCGTTCTCCACGTGCAGCTCTCACCTGGGCGTTGTGAGTGTGCTGTACGGTGCAGTCTTTTTCATGTACCTTACCCCTAACCGATTTCCTGAACTGAGTAAGCTGGCCTCCTTATGCTACTCCCTGATCACACCTATGTTGAATCCTTTGATTTACTCCCTGAGAAACAAAGATGTTAAGGAAGCTCTAAAAAAGCTTCTAGAGAAGAGAACTACATTTCATTGATTATTAGTCCTCTGCACCATTAACACTGTATTGATTTTGTACCTCTTGTGGACAATAACGTGTTATCCTCTCAAATATTGTAACAATGCTATTAGTAGCTTTTTCTATAGAATGAATCTTTGGAAAATGTGACATCTTCCTCCTCTTGACATCATTAATCATGAAACACTTGGAGGCGAAGAATTGCCCTAGAAATTAGGGAAGCTCTTTAAAAGATGATTTTTTCCTTCTCATCTCCAATAACATTCTATTTTTGCAAAATCACTGTGTGTTTAATAGTACTGAAAAATGTTTTAGTAATTATTTTCTCTATTAAACAGCTTTTTGTATAATGTTGATCTTTTTTATTACCTTTTCCTCTTAAATCAGAGTAATTCACAAATTAACCATTTTTAATACACTTTTCTGTTTTTAGTTTCATCATCATGGTAAGTGGTTATTAAGGTTATTATGTTTTACATACATTCTGCAGAGAGTAAGTAATAATATTACAAATGAAGCTATACATAACCCTCGCTACATACATTAACTTTGGGAATTTCTCTGTAAATGCCAGGTATAACAGAACTCTCTGAGGTGTGCCATACAGAGATCTGAATTCAAAGAACTTAGTTATAAGATGAAGAATTTTGAGTGTTCATTACCTCAGTTTGATTTATAATAATATTGTCATGTGTTAATTATCACTGAAGATATTTAATAAATTTACAGAGGTAGATGATCCATCTAAACAGAGATAGTGATCTAAAATGTGATCCCCTAACCCTGTAGATACATTTTTTTCATTAACTAATTTTATTAAATACATAGATACATGTTTTAGTATCGTGGTAGCCATAAAAGTAAATCACTCCATTCTTTAGGGAATTCATAATTTAGTGTGAGAGTCAAATCCTCAGATGGTCAAGTATAATGCAGAAAGCCATGCCAAAAATGTGCTTAGAGACCACCTTGAGGTGACTGAAAGCAGGTGGTTGGTTAAGGGAGGAAAGGCTCTTCAGCTTGTGTGGAAGTCTATGTAATGGGATGAGGTTGTGGAAATTGCTGCAGTGGTTAATACTGCTGATGTGGGCTTAAAAGATACTCATAAGACTTGGAAAAAGGCAAAATTTAAAACTTACAATTAGCATATAAAAACAAAAGTTAATGGATTAATAAAGCAAGATGTCCTCGCATTTTTGAACCGGAATCAATGATGCCATAAGAAAGTCACAGAACAGAGGCTGCCTGGCTAAGTCATCAAACCTTCTGTTTGATCTTCAGCATCAGTAATTAAAACTTTAGTTCTCAGTGAATTATTTTAAGAGAATACCCTCAACTGATAAATATCAGATGTAGAAAAGTTTTAATGAAATTATCCTCAGTGATGACAAACTTGATATAATTAGGAGCAATGATACAATTCATGTTTTACTAGAACTGTTGAAGCTTGTTCTAGAACTTCTACCTAATGTAGTAAGAGATGAACTGAAAATAAAAATTTTATGGTTGAATTGTATCATTTAAAAATTTTTATGTTGCAGCCCAAACCCCAGTGCCTCAGAATGAGACTACATTTGGAGACAGGGTCTTCAAAGATGAGGTTAAGTATAACTAAGACCATAGATGGGGCACAATCCAAATTATATAAATATATTCATAAGAAAAAGTTATAAGAGCATAAAGAATCAATAGAGTTGAATGTGCAGAGTTGATCATATGCAGAGACACCAAGAGAACTGATATTTATAGAACAAAAAATGGTCTTAGAGAAAATCAACTGTGATGGCAGCTTTATCTAAGACGTCAGCCTCCATTAGTATAAGAAAATGTTTTTATGGTTAAAGACACTCAGTTAATTGTATTTTATCATGATATCCCTAATAAACTTGTGTGAACAGATCATAGATAAATAGATGATAGATAGGTAGATGATAGATAGGTAGATAGATGATAGATGATAGTAGATAGATAGATAGATGATATATAGAACATCTATCTTTGTTTGCATAAAAATGATTGCATATGTAGAAAATTCCAAAGTCTCATAATCATCTACAACAAAACTTCTTGAAACTGTTAGTCAGTTATCATTATGTTCCTGGACACAAGGTCAATTTCTGTATACTATCAATGAAAAAGTGAAATTTAAAATGCACTGTAGAGATTAAAACACCAAGATAAGAGAATAGAAAATTTCAATGCTAGTTCTTTTATAAACAAATTTAACAGTAATGTATTGAACAAAACACATTTGTTGAAATTCTAGAATATAGTTAAAATTTTGCTATGTACTCAGTCCCAGACTTGCTTAACTCAGTCTCTGAGGAATACCTTTGTTCATGCTTTCTGTTTTGCAGCTAAATGTGGGAGCAGAGAGCAGAGTCAACAAGATGACTTTTCAGAAGACTTGAAGAGTTGGTTTCTGACTGGGATCTTTTAAAGAGCAGATGAAATCAAAATTATTTGGACATTAGAGAATTCCTGACACTATGGAATATTTGTGAGTCCACCATAGCTAGGTGAATTATCAGAAGGCATAAAACTTGAACTTTATACTCCTGGAGGTAAGGAGAGGTATATGGAATTCCAGAATTCTGGTTATTTGCCAGTTGTTGGAAGGACTGATACCATTTCCTTATGAAGGGGAGAAAAGTTTATAATCAGCATTTCTGATACCAAATAAAAATAAGGGAGGTTGGTGTTATAGAATCAGAGAATCTGCATTATTTAAGACACTTATAGTAAGTTATTATGAGCTACTTGAACAAAAAGGCAGGGAGGACATGATTCTCTGTGATACTGTATAGATAGGTTTAGGGGTGTCATATTCATCTAAAAACATTTTAAAACTTCTTAGAGATTGTAGATGGACTTATTGGGAATTGTGTTCCTCTGTACAAAACCAGTCTGGTTTGTAAAAGCTAGGGCAGGCAAAAATGTTTCAACAAAACACTATGAAACAAAGAGACAGAGAAATTAGGACAAAAATATGAACAAAATATATTTCTTAACACTAGAATGAAAAAAGATCAAGAGAGATAAAATGTAAATAAGAATCAAGCAAAAAACTTAGAAGTAAAAACCAGAATAATTCAACTAAAAATAATCAGTAGAGGATTTAAACAGAAAAATTTAGCTAAAATTACAACCAAAGAAACAAAAAACACTGAAATTTTTAAAGTTTGTGAAATAAAAAGTGATTAAAATGAGTAAAACTAATATAGTATGATCAGATAGAAAAATATGTGTATATAGAATGGAATATGAGAACATGGAAAATACAAAAAAACCTGATTTGAATAATTAATACCTGAAAACGTATAGACATAGAGTAGATAGAAATGGACACTTGCATTAAAAATTCTGAAGGCTGGAGAGATGGCTCCATTGTTAAGAGCACTGGGTGCTCTTGCAGTAGACTCAGGTTTGATTCCCAGCACTCACATGGTAGCTAACAGGCATCCATAATTCCAGTTTCAGGGGAATCTGGCATCCTCTTCTGACCTCCTTGGGCATTGTATGACATGGGCGTACATACACACATGTAGGCAGTACACTCATACACATAAAAATAATAAATGAAATTTAAAAAAATATTTTAAAAATGAAATAAAAATTTAAAAATCTGAATTAATTCTAAATAAGATGAAGCCATAGAAAACTATCATCTGATGCATATGGTCAAAATTTCAAAATAGAAGGCAAAGTCTTTCAGAAAAGCAAGGGAAAGAAACTCTTCATATATAAGAAACTCTCAAAAGATTGTCAGTGATACATGTTTCATGTCTGGTCAATTCCCAGTAAAGACTGGTAAGTGTCCTCCAGATACTAAACACTAAGTCAGCAACTTCTAAGTCCACCCACCTTCATCAGTGAACAGCCAAGGGCAAACCAGGCCCTGACCACCCAGCCTTCAGTTTCTTGTCTGCCCACCTCCTAGTGATGACCTATAAGAATATTCTGTCCCTGAATCTCCTATCCAAATTTAAACAGTTAACCCTAGCTCCTGGCATCAACAAGCAAATAATCCCCAGACCATCATCCCCAGCCATACTCTTCCACTGAATCCAATAAGTTCATGTGAACAAATCTCAGTAGAAAACAGAAGCAAGATGAAAATTCAAGACATATCTCTTCTATAAACTACTAACTTAAAATAATGAATCCCATTGACTAACAAACTGCAAAGAATTTTCAGTCAAAGAAAGCAAACGAATATTTTATGTTCAAACTACTCAAATAAGACAAAAGCAAAGAGATGAATTGTAAGGAATTCAATACAAATGAAAAAAGAATTCAAAAAGACAATTACTGAAGAAAAGTCATCTTTTTTATTTTTTATAATTTTATTTTGTTTTATTTTGTTTTAACAGAACATAGGGTAGTGGTTTATTTACAGAAGAGTGGGTATCCCACATTGACTGCTGTGCTGTAAGTCCGCACTCAAATACAGATCCTGTGACCTCCTGACAGCCATACAAAATGGTGAAAGAGGTACCTCTGGTGTTCTCAGCCTATGTAGCCTTCGCCCCTCCCCTCCACATGCAGCTATGGTCGAACGATTGGGTGGGAGGGGCAACTGACTCCCCCCTCTACTCCTTGATGAGAGTGGGAAGGAGGTATGACAATAGTTTGCTGGCACAGTGGTCTGAGGGCATTTCCAGTTAACACTCCACCCTTTCCTCTGGCTCTTACATTTTTTTCCACCAACCTCTTCCACAAGTCCCTTAACCTTGGAGGGGGTGATAGGTGTGGGATGTTCATCCTCCCATTGTGGCAAGGCACTGAACTTTTAGGTCTCTGCATCATCTGTTTTCCATGGGCTGTTGGCCAGTTTGAGTGGGATTCCTTCTACTATAAAAATACACAAAGCAAGAAGAAAGAACATCTAAATGGTGACTGCTATAATAACTTAACCTATGGATGTCAACACAAATGCTTTGGCAGTATTTTAGCAGGTGCATCATTTCTATCTAACAAAGAAATTGCAGTGACTTCCCACTCAGGGCTATATTTTC